GGCTCATCAGGTAGGCGCAGTCCCCCAGTTTCCGTCAACCTTATGTTCTCTACTTTTTAAGGAGTGTCACAGTATTTCCAATTTATGAGCATTCAGAATAGCTGTTCCAGTCAACCAACAGAAAAGAGTAGGCCATCTGTTAGCCATTGTATTATAGTCAATTTATCAGATAGGCCCCATAATTAACGAAGAATTTTGTCTGTTAGAGAAGGGATTGAATTTTGCAGTAACTGAGTCATAAGGGCAAGAGAGTTCGTTCTTAGATTAGCACACTAGGTCAGTGTTAAGGGTCAATTAACGGCTGTTGTCGGTTAGTGTGTTTGTCAAAATCTTGCTTTGGTGGGTTGGGGGAGTTTCAACTTAGTTCTGATCGGTTTTGGTTGCTTACCCTCCCACTTCAGTGTGCTTTGATTGATGATTCACTCCCCGCGAGTGCCACTAGTAGATTTCGTTTGTCTTCGTGGGTTTGTGAGTGTTGCGGCAATCTAGTTAAGGGGATGGAAAGTGGGAATTCAGATGATGATAATCGCACGCACACATGTGTCGGCTCGACTGATCCGAGACCGTCCTTCACACGCCTGCCAGTTCCACGTCTTCTGTTGACACTGGGATGCTTGGCGATTTCTATCGCTTCGGCTATCAGTTTATGTGACGTGGACTGTAATTCTCGCCTCAAAACTTCAACATTCTCTAAATCTATTTTGTGTCTAGTGCGTGTTCCGCGATTGCCGAGTCTTTCGGTAACGCTTGATATTCGTCCGCGTTTCTCGGCGGCCTGTTTATTTTTCTCACATGTTCTCCGATTCTGATTTGAAGTTCCATGGTCGTCTGTCCTATATAGACCTTAGTACAGTAGTCACACTTAATTTTGCAGACACAATCCCTGGTTCTTTTTGCCGGGAGGCGATCCTCCAAGTGCACAGCGCAGGGTGTTTCCCTTCTGGAAAGCTACTCTTATGTTAACCGTGTTTAGAATCCTTCGAACGAATTCCGATGTTTTTGCTTTCTGTGGAATAACAGCAGTCCCGATCCATTCCCTGTTGGGCTTCGTTACCGGTACCAAAACCCTTCGAAATTGACGCCTAGTCAAGCTGGCCGTATATCCATTACCTCGAAGTTTTTTCCTCATTTCATTTTGGGTCGCTATCCCATCGACTTCTTCTGTGCAAGTACTCTTACATGCCTAAACACTGACGAGGCTATACTGACGGATACCGACTTCGGATGGCCAGACGAGTAGTTCAAAACTGCCCTAGTGTCGGTTGGCTTCTCGTGCACTGTGGTCTTTAATTTCCCCCGACCTTATGTATCATGCAGTCTAAAAAGGCCGATGTATCCGAGGTTGACTCTATCTCCATACTAAATTTTATGTGTGGACTCAGTCCATGCAGATAGTTGTAAAACCCACTGGCCTTTTCTCGTTTCATCACGACGAAAGCGCCATCTACATAACGCCAGAATATCTTAGGTGGGTATGGGAATCTGGCTGAAGCTTTCTGTTCAAATTCTTCCATGATTATATTCGCCAAAACCAGGGATATTGGAGATCCCGTTGATAGACCTTGTTCTTAAGTGTACACCACTGAATCAAAAAAATGAATTCAATGAGGTCTAGACATGCTTTTATACCTTCTATTTCATTTTTCCTAAGCTGTGTCCGTTCTGAAAGGGTATAGTCCGCTAGTAGCTTGGCTATTTCTAACTAGTCTCCTTTTGTCACATTGGTACGTAACGAACTGATATCGAAAATTACAGGGATGTCATCTGGTTCAAAGGTGACACCCGTTATTTTGTTGGCAAAGTCACAAATTCTTAGTGTAAGTACTAGATTTCCAGGTGAGAGGTTTTAGAATACTCCCCAAGAATCTGGCTAGCTCATGCGGTGAGAAACCTACTCCGGAACATCGGGTTGATGGATTTTTGGTAGGCTATAAAGCCTTGGTTGGGTTGTACTTTTGAGGTATAGTCGATATCGATTACATTGCCCTAAGTGGTTTATTGCGGACCGCAAATATCTGCCAACTTCAGCTTTACTCATGTTCATAATATATGTAACATTTGCATATTTGCGTTAAAGACTCCCAGCTAGGTGTTGCTTGAACTTCTGTAGATAATCACTCTTGTTCATTACAACAGTGACCTTACCCTTAGGCGCCTTTGTAATCACTATGTTGTTCAGCTGTTTTAGGGTGTTTTCAGCTCTTCGCTCCGCTGGTGCAATTTTGGATTGGGTTTATGCCCGATTGTTATTCCTTGAATGTACACTGTTTACTGTTCTCTTGTGAAGAAATGTCGTCGGCACAGGAGGTCCATGCTGTGAAAAAAACAAAGATTGTTGTCTGGTTGCTTCTGAGGTGAGGCTTTCTTATAATGCAAGACAGTCGCGGAGCACTGAACCTGTTCCCTTCTTCGATGCGTCCTTCAGGGGAGGGTTTCTGTAAAGACCGCATTGGTAGAGCGATGGTAACACGTTTGCCTCGCATGTCAGATATCCGGAGTTCAAACCCCGGGTATGGCCACGGATATTCACTATCGATGAGCTCTAACAAGGACTACTTCCAGTTTACTGCTTTCCACGCTTTTATAACTCTCTGTGACACTTGACTTGTGTGCGTTGTACATACCGCATAACTAAGCCCACGACTGATGACAGTTGTCATGCATTCCGTCAACAAGGCTAGCGCACTGAACCGCACGTGATTCTGTTCCAACTTATCTAAAGGTACCACAACTAACGATGAATACCAGAACTGCTGAGGAAATACACCGAATGCTGACGGTCCCACGTAGCCGCCTCATTTAACGGTGTTGCTTCTAGGGGACAATATTTAATCCGATGAATTCGGAGTCATCTGTTGAGTAAAACGCTACAAAGCAAGAGTGAAATGAACCGGCCATTAAGGGAGTAATATCATGAAAAATAATCACCTGGAAAAGGAAGCTGGTCACATACCTTAAATATATCGTCAGTGCCTAAATGCACACTCTGTGGGTTTACATATCTGGCAGGAAATAGTGTTATCAGGCTGTTGTGCCGAATAAATTCGTTCTCTTGCGAGGCACACCTTTCCTCTGATCAGTTACAATGTCTTCCTGGAACTTTAACTGAAGGCGATCATTCCCTTGATTCCGTAACCCACTTTCGTCGTTCAAGCAGTGAGGAATCCGTCGTTGTAAGGTGTATTTTCCACAAATCAACTACACACCGAAGCAATGGTTCTGTCACAGACATTTTGACAAACCAAGGAAAAATACACTGAAACGTTCGTTGCACCCATACAGCAGTTTCGTGAACACTTTCATTCAAGATTTGATTTTGACAAACACTGGCGTTTGTAGTCGTTTTCCTGTTAACTTGATGGATTTTCGCGTCACTCCATCCATTTGTTTATGAAGCGCACGGTTTAGCTACCTCGTCGCCATTTATTCTTAACTCTGTTTTCTTTTGTTCCAACCATTATTGTAGTTGGTGAGTCTTCCTCTGGAAAAAGTATGCCAGGGGCTACTGCTCTTCTGCCAAACGCACGAATGGAAAAGCTGACAGCACAATCCAGTACTACTACCTCGGAAATCGCCCGGGCCCGTAATGCTGCGATCGAGCGTGGAGAAAGGCTGCAGCAGTTGGATATACATACGCAGGAGATGGTAGACCAAGCAAAAGGCTTCGGTCGTTCGGCTGCCATCCTAGCAAGCAAATATGAGAAGAAAGATAAGTGGTGGGGATGGCCGCTTTAGCTTTCCACGAATTTGCCTGCTCGATCAATGACGAATTGACGCCAAAAACAGCTAAATTGTCCTTGATAGACACAGTTTTTCATGAGACAGCTTCGTGTCGTGAGCCATTCACATGGCACATCCTAAACGACAAGGTTAACATTCCTTTGGGTGATTTTGAGGTGGCACCTTCACAGCCCTTGTTGTTTACTTCATCCCATTGTTTCCGTTGTCTGAACAGATGCGTTACATGTTCTCTGAACTCATGCACTTGCTGTAGATTTGTTTTCACAAGGAATCGCCTACTCTTGTTCTGTTTTTCTTTTGGTTGAGTAGTTCACTTCCATAGTTCAGATTATGGTTGTATTCCAACCAAACTGTTCCGTCCTACCTGTGCCCATTAGTTTCATCAGATTTGCTAGTCACATTGGTCTGTGATCACTTGTTTTTGTCCGTGCCAGTTACCAGGTTGATCAACCGAACGCTGTATTCCTGTCTGGAAACTCACTATCTCCTGTTTCTTTCACCATGTCATTTTCTCCTGACTATATCTTCTTGAATGTGATATCTTGTCCTCGGACACTCCTGTATATGCTTTGAGTGTGCTCACTGCGCTGTTTTCGTTGTTAGTTTCTTCTTGGTACAGTACATCTTTCTAGTGATAGCGCCTCCTGCGCTCATGACCGAATCCAGAGATCCTCTCTGTGACTTGGTCACTCTAATCAGTGCACTATTCCGAATATTATCGACCATTAATACTTTGAATTGATCTACAAACTGCTTCCCAATGCCCGTGTATTTGAATAAGGCGAGGGATTCCAAAAATTCCGTCCTTTGTGTCACTCCATGCACACACGCTCCGCCTAACATAGAAGAAAAAACTCGGCGGACTACAGCACCGATATTCTCCTCAGGTAATTCCTATTAATGGCGATAGGTAGTCGATTGAGTCTCACCTGAGCAAAATTGATAAGCCCACACACCTTACCGGCGGTCGAAGCCCGCTCAAACGTATCGACTTGTAATTAAGGGATAAAGGGGATGAACGCTCTTGACTCATTCTATCTGTGATTTCAATGCGCGAGTGACGGTTGTGGTGAGGGGGGCACAATTCTCGGAACTGATTGCGAAGCTGATACCACTGCAGGTCTTAATCACAATCGCACCTTATTACTGACTTACTGACAAGGCTCTGTGACAGAACACATATCGCCAGGTTTTGGCTGTAGCTTATCGCTCAGTCAGTCGACAATGTTTCATACTCGGTGTGAATGTGAAAACCCACCATCTGAGAATAGTGACGCAGAAGACGGAACATGAAAACGGTAACAAATAAGTCTAAAATGGAGGCTGAATGCCAATTGGTAAAACATTTCATTTGTCACACCGCTTCACGTTGCGTGAGTGGTGTTTCTCCCCATCATTCATGAATGCTTTGGGTAATGTGATGACATATCGCACTCATTGTGTACTGGACGAAAACTGAGAGTGCATTTTGCTTGATGTCATATTTGTTTTCATCTCTCTCGTGGCTTCAATCGGTTTTCTGTTCACACCAGATTGTCGAACAATCTGAATCAGTGCTCAGAAATTTAGTTTGTCGGAAACCATTTGTGCCATGCTGGCGCTATTGTTGGGGTAAAACAAACATCACGTGCAAAACGATCAAATTCAGATCGAACTAGGCTAGTTCTGTTGTTGAGTGAGGCCCTCACTATTCGTGCTGCCTGTTGTCATCAGAAGCAAGACGTAATGCTACAGATACCCGTCTCGCCCGTTGTCACCGCCTATTCAGTCTCACTTGTTGGACAGCGAGCGGCGCCTGCAGAGCGGTAGACTGAAAAGTCTGGTCGGCTTGGATACACGAATAACCAGCTGCTCAAACGGATAGGGACTGAAAAGTGACCGGGGTACGCGCACTCTGACTAAACTCGGGTTACGTTGACATGGAGCCACCTTTGATGTTAATTTCGAGGCATTTTAAAAGTTCCATCAGAACGCATTTGTCTTCTGTGGAGGTATCTCCCAAGTGATGCTGAAACGCGTCTTTATGTTTCGGGGTAACTTTTACTTAAATAATGAACGGTTGGTCTTGTGACGGCCAGGAAAGCTTGTTGGATGGACACTGGTAGACCAAAGAGAAAACCGATGTGCTATCATCGAACCATAAGAAATGGTTGCAGGAGGTTGGTGGTCAGTTAGGGTTTGGTTATGGACAAACCAAAATTTGGAACGAGTTATCAATGTCCTCAGGACAATTTTTATCGCACTTGTCCCCGTATCACATCCTCCAAAATTTGGCACAGGGCCACCACACTAAGACAAATTCCAGAGTACGTGAGTTTCCAAATTATCATAACCCCTGTAGCCTTCACGTCAGTGGACTGAGCGTTTGCCATCGGTCCCGTCATCACTCTTTACGTGAAAGTATCAGATGCATCCAGTTTCAGAGCCCCCAAACATCGCCGTCCTAATCTTTCCGTGTTCACAAGATGAGTTGGATGGGCACTGCTGTATCTAGTCTGACTCACTGCCCACATCTACCGTGCAGCCAGTGGGATCTGATACCCTAAGCACCTCATGGCTTGAAGCTATGTACTCCTTACTTGCAATTTGATGTCTTTTCGTGGAAACGGCATATTCCCAGCTTATTCTTATAGTGTAGAAATTAAGAATGTCTCCGATTGAAAGCAACTTAAAGCTGGTAAATTCTCATCCCATTTATGGTCAAGCGCGTTATTTTCTGCCACCACTAAGTATTTTCGGTGCACACTCGTGGCAGCAGATTGCAGTTGTGTGTACGTTTCACGTGAAACTTTGTGGGGTGTTTTTAACTCCAATACAACCAAGCGAACACCGTTCACCTCGCTGACATCCATGCTGAGTGGGCTGTCTGTGACCTAGGGAACATGTATGACAGTCCTCACCAGACGGAATTACGGTTGCTGTCTCCCTAAATCGATACCCAGGCACCTCAATCATCAATGTTTCATGAGTGACAGTCAGGGGTTACAAGCAGTTAGAGACGCTGTCGCATATAAACTATCATATTGAATGGACGACTATTCCCTCCTTGGTCCCGCATTTTCCGATGAACGAACGAGTTGCAGCTGGAACAACCAAATCTCTTGTGAATAGATGATTGATCGAAATGGACCGAATGCATACAATACACACTCACGACCGCTCAGATCGGGCCTAAAACCCGTACACATCTAGAGAAATGTGGTAACCCCCACAACTATTCAGATATCCTTGGAACTCAATCGGTTTCTTTTGCCGGTCGTATTATCACTGAATCGTAGTATGGCGAAACGACAAAACTAGCCCAGTTTAACGTGAAAATTTGGAACGCCTCGCACACTGCCAAAGTCTTCGCTTGATAATGTTAACGGGGTGCAGCCTGACAAACATTTTCTTGTACGCAACTTCAATTGGTGACTCCAGTTATTTGTAAAACTTCATAAGTCGACCACACAGAGTTGAGTTTAATGCGTGCACCCTTGTTTGGCGACGATAGATGTAAACGAGTTGCCTGTTTTCCAGTCGCTATACTCATAAACTAAAATTTAAAACCGGTCGTAACAGGGAGGTTAAATCTTCGGCGTGCGACACGCTAACTTTCTGGCTTGAGCGACTATTTGATTCTATTATTCACGAAATGGAAAAGACCGTTTTAATCCCCTAGATCGTTTACTTGATTATTTATCTGTTGGTTCCATCCACGACTGTCTACGTGAGTGCTAACCACAAATGCCAAAACAGCGGAAATACCCATACTCAAAAATATGCCTGTTCATTCCACTGATGAACTCGAATACGTGTACCGAGTGCTGTGGTAACCCGTTTGTGTCTGCATCTGTATGTCACCATGTAGGCAGCGCATGAATATGCGTTGACCATCTGTATCGTGGTAATTATTTCAGTCTACAGTATGGCGTCATATCATGTAGCACGCATCAGGTAATACTTATGCTGCATTTTAACCTATTGGAAAGTTGATTTTATCTCATTGAAAAACCCCATTCTAGTTAAACAAGTAATTTGCTCCAGTGTTTGGACGGCTCGGATTTGCCTATCCATGAAGAAGCGTAGAATTCCTGGTGTTTGATATAACTGGAAGTCTTTTCTCGAGCAGCTTTCTATGGGAGACTGACACAATATTAGGTGAATGCGTAAACATATACTTAAGGCACCATACGGTTAGGATATATGAGTATGCTTCGTTCTGACTCATGATGCTAATAGGCTTTCTGTTAGCTGTATCAATCTTCGATTCATTCAAGCGCAGCCTGTAGATTTTGCAGATAAAAATCGACCGCTAATGTAGTGCATTGATGTACGACATAATCAATAAGGTCCATCATCCAGGATCGATGTTAGGGGCAGAGAATTGCCCACTTACAGATGTTCGAGTGAATACTGTTCAGCGGTGCCGAGCATTAGCCAGCTGGTCGAAGGATGAACAATCTTCATTGGACAACACACAGTGAAGATACTGAACGGTGTTTACTCAGCCGAGAACTAACTGATATTCACCACTGTCATTTCGAACGTATTCATTTTAGTGAACGGTTGCGTCCTCCAAATAATCATGATTTACGTTTGGTCAGTGCTGGCTCTATGCTGCATTACAGTTATCTTCCCAGCAAGTGCTGGTGTGGCTGGTGTGCGAGTGGCGGCTCCTAACGTGTGGGCAAACAACCCGTATGTGGTGAGTTCCAACTATCCGCAGCTCTCGCTGATGCAGACTTCCCTGTCGAATGAAAAACAGGGCCAGATGGACCAACTGTCTCTACAACGACTTGCCCAGTTACAGTCTGCTACGGGAGGACAACAGCTGACCCCGATGTACGCTTCAACGGGATCTGCCTTTGTTGCGCCTGCAGGATACTTGCCACAGGCGGCCTATATATTGGGTAGCCAGCCGACTGGACAAGGAACTTACATGGTAGCAAGTGATTCTAATCCATCCCTACTTTCTGTATCAACGAGCAACGGTGCCACCAGTGGCAATGAGGTTATATCCTCATCAAACACAAAAGCTACCAGCGCTACATCCGGTACTGCAGTTGTTGGAAGTCCTACAGATGGCGTTATTGGTGCTGATGGGCAGATACTTGGTAGTACTCAAGATACAGCCGTCGTTGAGAGTGCCGGACAACTTGGTCCTACAGTTGTACGCGCGGATATTCCGGTAACTTACCAACAGGATTCACTAATTCCTTACCAGTCCCAACAACTGTTATACACTCAAGGTAGGAGACTATTTGGAGTGGACGAATATGGTCGACCTGTCTACATTGTCTGAGCCCCGTCTGTGCTCCTTAACTGGTTAGTTAGTTAACTTTTGTCTGTCTAATATTGCTTGATTCTTATTAATAAACGGACCAGTGTTATGCTTGCTCTTCCCGCTAACACGCTGTGTACATACGTGTCAGAAACCTCTTCGGAACACCAGGAAAATCAACAGAAAGGAACCTTTAGGATAGTGTTAAAATTGGCGCCGAAAAACGCCGGCTACGCGGTGGATTATTGATATGAATTCACAGCTAACACCATTACCGGGAATCACTTCCGCCGTTTTTCAGCCAGTGGGACAAATGGATGTTTAAAAACCGGTCCATGCTCTAAATCTGGAGTAAAATCTCTAGAGTGGTTGTTATTGTCTTGACACAGGGTTCATATTGGGTGGGGATCTGACCAGGAGAATCAAGCCTTCTTCGATGAGCGTGTATTTCCTTTAGACAACCAAATTTTCTGCAATTCTTGATCGCATGGTAGGTTATACACTTCAGGAACACAGTTTGTTCTTTACTGTGCTGCTGTACGCTGCCCGCTGTCCCGATAACTAAGGGTGCCTTGTCCAAACCGCTGTTTAGTGTGATCTCAGATAGGTATGGGCGATCCTGGGAGATTCGTTTCTGATACGCCACATTCGAAAAGCTGAGGGGCTTGTGAGAATAACCCATGCCGTGCTTCGCGGGAACAGCAGAAGAAGTTTTCTTGTTATGGCACCAGTTAATTACTTCAGGTTTACTGAGAAGTGCTGTGGTTACACATCAAAAACACTAACATTTTCGAGGCCGACTGGGCGTCAATGAACTTGACTGCAGCTCGGGGAGGGTAACTGGCACAGTAGGTGCTAATCAGGCGGTCAGCCAGTAAAAAAAGGAAGAGGGACATAGCCGTGTATCATAGTCACAACACTACTCCATAAGGTGCACTGACCTCTCGACATCTGATGGCTCCCGAAGACCGCGATTTCAGCTAGTTTTTATCAAGCACTTGATAACGAAATTCATTACTCAAACGTAAGGGCATTATTCTCAAAATGACCTTTAGACCAAAGAAGCAAAGAACTATGCATACTAGGCTGTTATATGCTCTCACAAGAATACGCCGTACCAGATGCAAACAGATGTTCACATGGATGCCGTAAAACTGCTGACCTTGCCTTGGGGTCAAAGTAGAATTCACATGGGGATCGGCTGTCAAAGTGCATGATGAACAGTTCAATAAGTGCCAGTCAGAAATCTGCTGAGACAACAGGCCTATCAGTTTGCTAAAAACTGTTTTATTCCGCCATAAAAGCATCGGTTATTCCTAATGAATCAGTCACCTGTCACCTTCCATAGCGTCGTGCCCGCCCATGCGGCTGCTGGCTCAGTTACTGTTATATCCTTCGGTCTAAGGTCAGTCTTTCGATACCACAATCAGCTTTTATTCTTCCGATGGACCACATATATTACAATAGTTTATACAGCTGCTAGCCACAATATAGCAACCCCTGCTCACTTTATGGTTTACTTACATTCTGCCTCATCATTCTTCCTGTGATATCGACCAACGGATGTAATTTGATAACACCAACTGACGCTCGTTCAGCTCACAGAAAAGGATTGGCGATAAATTTCCCAAGCGAAATGGAAACGATAAGTATACATGCCGCTTAAACCAACATATCGGTACAAACAGCCGGAAAATCGGTCAGATTGTCAGCTTGCAGACCACAAATAGTTCTGAAGATGCATGACAAGCGGAAAACAAGCTTGGTTCAAGCGAAACAGTAGTCACCAGTAGGTTCACCGCCAGAAGGGTCCCAATCGTTCCAGTATCCCAGGCTACACCACGACAAGATGGATAAGGTGGGAAACTAATAAAAATTAACGCCACGTTTAGGAGATTTAGACCTGTTTTTTGGACTAAATCAGAGCATAAAAGTTGACTGCTGAGTAGCTTTGGCGCCTTAGGATGTTCTGACGCACAGTGCAGAATTAACTGCGCACTTCGATGCGCATTCTTGGTGCTGGCTGAGTCATTGTAATAGAAATTATCATACACAGGGGTGGTAACATGGTTGGTGCATACTGTGGTAAAACGTGAGATGTGGAATAAACTGTAGTTGGTCTAATTGACAAGTTCTCAACCTGTTTCGAACCCTGCAACTCACCCAGTATCCAGGCAGTAGACACTCGTTCATTTTATGCTGACACAAATAATGAGAAAATTGGCCTGATTGCCTAATTTCGGATAAAAGGTCTGCCTGGTCGAGCACACACAGCGAACTACTACCAAACGACCAGATCATGAAGACTTTTGTTGGGGGATTCTATTCACTACATTCTTATGATGGGGATGTTTTAACTCAAGTAAAGGGAAAACGTGAGTACTTAGTGGCTCAGTTAGGTTGACAGACTATTGTTTATCTCTTTGTTAGGAGAGACAGCCAAACGGTACTTTCTAACCACCAGCAGACTGCGTACTAAACGGGCTATTACTTGTATCACTCCGGTTTCGGTGGGCCTGTGGTTAAAGCACGCAATGGGTAACAGGACCGCTCGCTGTTATTGAAAGAGTGCACGAAACGTAGCCACGCTCATCGCCCCCGATAGATTTCCGAAAGCGGTAGATACCTCAATCAAGGGTTTCTGATGGGAGTCTCCTGCCTACACAATTTCATGAAATAATATCTAATCATAAATTCGAGGCTTTCGCACTCCTGCATTCATTAAGTGAGACGGTAACCGACCAGCTTACTAAGACCAATTCCTTTCGCCGTGATTCAATGGAGTGATACGGCTGGTACTTCATTAAATTTTACAACGTAGATTTTACGTATAGAAGGTTTCGTGTCACGAGACCTCTAGCTCTCTCCTTATATTTAGTTCCCCTGTCATCAAAACTTAGGTACCATTTAGACTGTCAATTGTCATCCCTTTTGGGTTCAAATACGTTTATCCTTGATGCGAATCCTCGACTGAAAATGACCGCAATTCCCTAGCCGTACCGTGCTTAGTCTTTCACATACGAAGTTATCAATAATGACTTGGGTGCCTAAGTTATCTCAAAGTTGCGATGAGGATGTTGCAAATCGAATGCATCGTCCGCATGCAGCATGGAGGTTTGCAGCTAACAGGCGAATACAGTCTGTTTCATCTGCAAACGGAGACAGTTACTGCTATTCATTCAGTTGGATTGCATTCGGCCTGAAAAGTGCTTGATTAGTTATGAGGATTTCATGCGTTTGGAGTAAACTTACGGTGGCTGCAAGGCAGGTCCAGATATTTAGGAACTCTAATGCCCGCAAAACGGTGTAACTGATCTTCAAGTGTCTGTTTTGTGTCTCTATCAGTCGATGCTACTGCAGTATGCGTGAAAGCTTCTAGGTTATTTGTTTCGACAGCAGTGTCTACAACAGTCTATCTAAAAGTGCTGAATGGCGAATGCACTGGCAAACTAGAAAACCAGCGTTTACTTGCCAACAATGGTAGGCAACACATTGTGCTGTTGAGGTGTCAATTTTTCGGGTTGTAATTTGCATTGATTGGCTTCTGGGATGAGCAGAAGGTCATTCGGATGAACCTCAGCGCAATACTTACATAGAAGAGATGTACACTGCACCAGATGTCTCATTGGTCCTTCTCATTAAGATAGTCCTAGCGTTCATCATTCCGTGGTTCCTGAATTTCAGTTTACAGCGAATGACTAAGGGAAATTTCACAATATATACCTACACTTCATGGTGAACGTAGGTTTGTGAGGATTTGCATCAAGGATAAACGTATTTAAACCCAAAAGAGATGAGCACTAAGATGTGGAGCTTATGATCTACCTGGATAGCATTTGCATATGCATAAACATAGGTAAAGTATGTTTGTTCAAAGTGAAATACTGTTAGTTAAATAGTGCTAACATATATATGCGCTGGCAACACGTGCCACATTTTCGCTATCGGAGCTTGGATTCCATCAATAATTAGGCCCTCTGCAATAAGCACAGCAAATAGGGTGGAGGTGCTCAATAACCTGATTTTGAATATGCACTACCTGGTTGTGCTGAGTAGTATAGAGTGAAGGAGTACTCATGTCACAAATTTTAGTCGCCTCAAAACCGGTCATGCTCGGGGGAACGCAATGACAAGGAACGAGAATAAATTCTACGAGGATACGCAAGATATGAGTTACACGAAATCGGCCTATTTCTGGTACGGGAAACCAAATATTTGAGCAGAGTTCGGGAGTCATTGGCTCGGGAACTATAGGTCCTTGGTCATCACTATGAGTCTTCTCAGAGTTAGCTTTTCAAATACTGAGGCCAGCTTTGCGCCTTTCGATGTAGACGTCATGCAAGAGAGCGGCCTGGCGAAGAGGTTGCTCATCTAATAGAATTCAGTATTAAAATATAGGTGGGGCGCAAATCCGGTAATCCAGCCCCCTCTGTAGGTCGGGTCTGTATCGTTCTAATTTATTGGACAAAGAGAACCTTGCTTTATTGGGTAAACATTGGTAGTCAGTTTGACAACATGTATGGGTCACACGAACAAGTAATCAACTGTCATTTACTTACCGTATCTTGCAAAACAATAACCCGGCCTGATGGCGTTTTGTGTGCACTGGTACAGAGAGCTTAGACCATAGACACTGCTGCAGTGAACTCGCAATTAGGTAAGTGCTGACGGCCAGCTTAATATTCAACTTAAAAGAGACACTGTAAATATGAATAACGGCGAACGTCTACCGCTGTTTGCTGATTAAAGGTCGTTATAGGGCAATCCGTGCTTTAAATGGCAGAAACCGTCCGGACGTACGGTAATCTTCATCAGTGACCTAGTTTTTAATCCCAATCCACCCCATAGCCCTCAGCTGTCACCGGAACGGAGCAATTGATGAATGTCACTCGGCTTGGAAAACTAGCGCATATTCCGGTCACTTGCTGATCGTGTTTTCGAAGCCAAGCTAAAGACGCACACGTGGCTCAGCCGTCAGAAGACTTATCCACAAGCTAAATATGTCAGTAAAAATTTTCAACCTCATTCCAGCTAAGTTACTGCTGGATGTTTACTCTAACTGAAACGCGATCGTCCAGAACAATGAGTACATGAAACCGTAACTGACAGAACTGCACCGACGGAAGCTGTCGGTAGCTTAAGCGTCTAGTGAGTGAAAAGTTAGTGTGCTCCTTTGCTTATAATGCGTGCTTATAATACGCTAAGCCTTGTATGTCAAGTCTCTTTAAACTGCCATCAGTCTTTAGGTTGCTCAAAAGAACAATTTCACAAGAGTGAAAACTCCACTTGAGAAGTTGTCACTCGAAGACCCAGTCGATACGTGACCAAGTGATGTGGTTTCTTTAACTGCATGATGAGTGGTGCTGTATTTCGTCTAGGTGAGAGCTAATCACACGGCTGTCAAGCGGCTCGTGGCCGAACCATCATGTGTTCAACTTGACCGTTCAAATTGCGGGAAGGTCACAGGTTCGAAACTGAGTTTCGTAAGATGCGCACAACTGACGATTCCGATTACGGATGAAACAGCTGTACACTGCTTCTCAACTTTTCAGCATAGATTACGATATAAAGCTGCTACCTTGACGTGTTGGTCGGACTTGAGTGCTGCAATGATCCCGCGGGCTACACTGGCTGGAACTTTGTTCCGCAAGGTGTAATTGTGTCAGGAAGACCAAAGGGGAGCAGTCAGACTAAGAGCAGGGAAACCTCCCACTACGGGGCGGTCTGGGGATCAAGTCGTACTACCCTCTGGGATAGGAGTCTGAAGGCAGTAAGGTGTTTCCCTAAACAGCCAGCATGTTCACATTCATGGAAGCAATGATGGTGCCTACTCCGAGGAAGGACGGGTCAGGAAAGGTCGGCAATAAAGCCGCATACCCCGATCACCCAACGGTAGAGGATGACCGCCGATTCATTAGTTAATACGATCGAGATACTTTTAGAACCAAAAAGTCTGGATCTGCTCAAAAGGCACCCGCTACGTGCAGCCAAATTAGGAGTGAAGCAGTAGTGCCCTACTCCCTGAGCCCTGGGGTTAGGCCCACCTCCAGCAGCCAAGCAGTGAGTCATCGGCTCAGGACAGGGTCCCCCCAAAAACACCACCGCCCGCTGCCTAGCGGGTCAGATTTTTGAGTTAAAGTCTAGGGGGAGGGACCGTGAACAAAACCCGACGTCCTTACACTGCCTTGTGGATCGGACTTTTGAGTCAAAGGCTCAAGGTGAGGTACCTGAACCAGACCCCCTTCCTCGGCCTGGGCAACCCGGAAGTATCATTTGTCCGCACAGTTCTTTGTGCAACAACGTTCCTTCCAACCCTTGCCCAACACACAAACAAAAGTTCCTGTGTCATTTGAGTGTGTTATCTGACCGATAGGCCTTCTGGACTCCGCTGCCTATTAACAATAAGCAAAATAATACCTTTCTAAATCCACGGGATCCTTTCGATATGGGAGCTCTCAACATCCCTACTCTATGTAAAATTGGCAAACAGGCAGTGCTCGCTGAAACCTCATACTCATTTAAAATTGATGTAAGCTATGTCTCAGAAAGAGGCATATTAGAATCAAGCGTGGTTATGCATCTCAGAACACCAAGTACGAATTCAGCTCATTCACATTTCTCTCTCTGTGTGTCCGATGACCCAGAAGCAATAACTCATGGAATAATTTCGTGGGAGTTGCACTTAGCCCCCCGAAAAGCACGAGCTTCGCTGGATGGGATCCCGGTGAACAGTAGTTTTTGCGCCATCGGGTTATCCAGCCAAAACAAGCTTAGTGCCTCGCGACATAAAAACGGAGCCTGTTTGTAGTGCAGGCTTGTGTCCCAACTGACCGCAGTTCTGACGCTGAGAATACTTTCTCTCGAGTGCTATTCGGACTCATTGGTCGAGCAAAAAACATTGACACTGTGATCCATGCGGGCGATATGAATGCCTGATTCGGTCGTCTGAGTTCCTTGGAATCAAATTTGAGTGGTCTATTCGGAGTCGATGCTCTTCGCACGGACAATGGAGAACGACTCTTCCAATTGTATTGTGATCATGAAATGTTCCTGGATAGTGCAAACTTTAAGCGTAAACTGGCGGCCACCAACTGTAAATAAACCGTGGACTCAGTTGGATCATGTGGCCATAAGCCACCGGTGGGGAGCCACAATCCAAAACTACCGTTCCTTATGGGGCACACAAATTGATTCCGATCACGCCATGGTGCGTACACGGCTGAGTTCGATCCCCTTCAAGCCCACGCAATTCACCAAGAAGCGTGCCAATCCGCGATGTTCGAAGAACTACATAGCTCAGCAGTATCGACCTGAGCTAGCTCAACAACTCTCTACAGTGAATCAGCACTGTAATGATGGTGAGCATATGGATGAAGCAGGGTAAAATGCGAAAGGAGCTATGTTAGCGGCACTCAATGCTGTTTGTCCGACGTTTCCGATACAATCAAAGGACTACTGCATATCGTCGAGATCGCTAGTCCTGAGTGAGCCAGGAAATCTGTACCAGCAGGCAACGAGTACAATGGCGCACGCAAAGCCCTCAAATGCCGGCTAGTGAAGAGTGTTAAGAAAGGACACATGTTCTGGTGAATATCGAAAGCTCGGTAGACGGATAAAGCTTTTGCTACCGGAAACAGTCGTGCCTTGTACCGATTGATACGATGGACCGGTCATAGGAGAGCAATGTTCATTGAAACAATAAGTGAAAAAGACTGTTCATCAATTCACTCGCAAAAATACCGACTGGAAAGATGGGCCAAACACTTTGAAGAACAGTTTAGCTGGCGTCAAACACAGACCTTGGGATAGTGCATACGGACGAATGGAACCTAAACCTTAATCGCTCACAATAAGAAAAAATAAAGTACGAAATATACGTACTGAAATGTAAGAAGGTACCATGACAGGACGGCCTCTATCCAACCCTCTTCAAAGAGGGCGAAGAATCCCTGATGACCCATCAGACAAAAATTATTAGTGCTATATGGAACGAAGAGAAGGCGCCTGCAGAATGGGGCATGACGACAGTTACCCCTGCCCTCAAAAAAGGTGGGCGGACGCTGTATGAAAACAACCGTGGCATCATCCTGGTAGCTGTAGCGTCGTAGGTGCTTTCTGGTCTTATCCTTCGAATGTTGACTGAGCACAAGGAAAGACAGATCCGCGAAAACCAAGCTGGGTTCCGTCCTTCAAGAGGATGCACACATGATATTTTACGCTCAGACAAATCCTGGAACAACGATATTGCTCCAAGCACCCCCAAAATGGTAGCCTTACGTGAGTTGAGAGCTGTCGTTGATTCTATGGTCCATCAGACACCATGGTAGTGTCTGTGAACCACAGATGTCCTCATAAATCCTTCAGCCTCCGTAAGGCGCTGCACACTAACTACCGCGGATGTGTGAAGGTCTAAGGGAAGCTCTCACTTGAGTTCAATATATCAAGTGGTGTCACGCAAATCTGGCCTATTTAACCTTTCAGCTTCAACTTGTTCACGGACACGATTACCCAATTCCGTTAAAGGTGGCTAAGTAGATAGGCTTTCGGGGTTTGAAAACAGACTTCGAAGTGTTTAGGGCTGTAACTGAACTCGGACGTGCAGAAGCTGCAGCTGAGTGTGATGCAGGGCGAGCAAAACGGTCAGTCCTGGAGCTGGGATCTGCGGAGGAAGTATTCGAATTTGGATGGAGGATGGTGGAAGATGGAAAACGTGAAAGAGTAGGAAGGGAGGCGTCAGCAGTAGCATGTTTTCGCTTACCTGCCCTGCTGCATGCAGCAAGTAAGGCGACCCGGCTGATGGCATCACGCGAACGCCGATGTGTCATGAAAATAACGTTATCTGTAAATGTCACGGTTGTATGAGGGCTGGGATACAGTCAGGGCGCCCACACCTAGACAGGAGGACGATTAGAGTCCTCAACCAAAGCCTCTGGCTTAAAAGCCTAACCACAAGGCAGCGGTATTGGGCTGGAAATGCAAATACATTATTAGTTTTAAGGAGCGCGTCACCACCCATGTTCCAGCCCCCAACCTGGAGGGCCACGAGACTATGTTCGTCAGTCCTCTAAACACTGACCAACCTGGTACGAGATATTCAGAGTGTGGCGCGGGCACAACCCCAGTATATCTTAATGGGTCGCCGAGGCACACAAACAACCATACCACGGTAAGGTTCAGTCTCTTCGTGACGGCATTAAGTGTAATAAGATATGATAGAGTCGTTTTCCCATCCAGCAAGGCTAAACTGCTGTCTTGCCCACAGGAATACCTGCACACCATATCAAACCATGCGCTGGGACTTCGGCTAGTGTAAGACTTCTCTTCGTCCCGCCAGTAACAGGTCAACTCATGTGGACTATCGAGGTTGGATTTCATCTTAACTGAATACCATGTTCTCCAACTCACGGCTCCATTTAACTGCATTGTATCTCGCAAGAGGTCTTCCTCATTTCCACGTATTTTGGACACGAAGAAGTAGGTGTTTGATAAGCCTAATGTCCAATTTCAAAAGGAGACATTTTCAAATTCGAACCACTCGTAATCTGATTAAACGTGGACCAAAGCAATCTACTTTTCGCTTTGCCTGTCAGTCATCACCCAGAACTTCTGGGTTTCTCGGGACCATATTAAAGATTAACTAAGAAATCGTTTTGGGCCACACCCGTTTATTTGCAATATATCTGCTACCCATTCCAGCTGCAATTTCCCCCTTTATCTCCGACAGCAATGATCCGCATACCATCGTTCAGCTGAATGCACGGTTGTCTTGGTCAACTGAGGAGAACATCTCATCAGCGACGATAAAACACAACATCACTCGTTGAATATGTGAGCAGGGTAACTACAGTGTTGGTAATCGAGTGAATCAACAAAGTGGTCTTAATGGCGTAGCAGTAGAAACTAACTTAAGGCACCAAGGTGCAAGACATGTGACTGAACATGTGGTTTCCATTACCAGTGGCACGATAAAAACGAAAAGCATTTATAGTGAACTACCAAGTATTATATGATCGCTGCAGAACAACAGAGCAATGTGAGCTAATATTAACATACATGTAAAGAAACAAGAAAAATAAACGAATGACAGATAGTTCGGATATGTGCAGATATAAGATTTTCCAATGTACGGCTCGCTGAAAAAAGATAGTGGATGCGTAAGAACACATCCAGGCTTGGTTTGCTTTCAGCTTGTATACGGTAAAAGTGGGGTGTACGTCTGTGCGAGTGGTGTGGTTTGATAGTCAGGATCAATAAATAAGTGTTGACATACCAAAAACACGAAAAAGTACACGAATCGAAGGGTACTGGCGAAAGGGTGTCTATCGGCCCACAGCAACAACCACAACTTCATCATCGTGAGTGAGACGCACGCGCCAATCAGAGTATTTCAACCGATCTCCTTCTGGACCACAAAGAAGTGACAGGACACGTTTCTGCTCGGCCAGAAGTGCGTCGCTATAGGAGTGAAGCGCATAAGAAACTGACAAAAACTAGCCCGCTTGTTGCCAGTAGTTCGTTACCCGAAAAAAATGATGAAATGATATGTTCGTACAAAAAGGCAAACAGGGTCAAACTCAAAGCGGTGTGCCCACACACCCCTAACTGCGACAAGGATGCTTGCTTAGACAAAAAGCACCATGGAGTGATGACCATTAGTCGTCCCCTGGTTCATAAAAACACTTTCTCTCCCGTTTATTGAACGGTTTTTAACTTATACGGATAAGAGACTATCTGCTATCATCATTTTCCTTAGATTTTGATGCACCATTACGCAAGTAACAAGAACATGTCAACCAGAAAATCACGTGACCATTAATGATTCAGGAAAGCCACCTGAATTATTGATCAGTCGACTGATCAATGGGTGCAAACAATCCATCACCCGCGAAGAACGAATCATAGTCTCCATACAGGAGTCTGGATGGATGTTGTCAAGTATTTCATTCCGAGATGAGCTATGCGAGACGTGCCCACGAATGAAAGGACACTGGATCTGAAGCTCAGTGTATTGTCAGCCGGAGGAATGGACCATGTCAAGAGTAGCAATGAGCTCACTGAGAGAAGAAGCCATTATTAGAGATAAAACGCTCCAAACTTCAGAATAAAAACCACAGACGCTCTATTGCCAAGTCAACTAGGGTGACAGCAACTCCTTCAACAATGACAATCACGAATTCTCGAAGCGAATATAGACTCAGAAGCACAATGTGGAGGGATAAATGGTAGTAACAGAAAAGCAGGCTATGTTGAAAAGCATGGAAATGTGGTGAAATTCAGGCCAACTGTCCAGCGCATGCTATTGAGTCAAACCTATATTCTAAATGATTGTCCACCCACCTAGTAAATACGTGGACGTATACTCCATCTGTTACATGCACCGAATCTAAGATAAGACTTTCCTTCTAATTCGGATGTGAAGTGATAAATTGAGGTAGGTTTTTAGACTATATTGACATCGACCCTGTGGATCGAGCTATGTGAATTGGAAACTGATTTGCTCTACAGCCAACAGCCTATGTACTAGTTTTCTGGTCGGCACTGTGTGTGACCTCGTAGAAAAGCTTAATGTAATGCTTTCATGTTACTGGCCATAAACGCAGATTTATTCCAAGAAAAAACCACTCTGGCTATCAGAAACAATAAGTTATCTCGGAGCCTTCCGGGATACTGACTCAAACAAATATACGATACTATCAGGTAACTGGGAAGAGTGTATTTTGACCGGCGTTCAATACAGACCTAGTGTACTAATCGGAATAGTTCTTGCCCATCACTTCTTCGCCTGCTTCAAAATTCGGCCAACCTAGTCACACCTGGCCTGACAAGGCTTTCGCATCGAAAGCGAAACGATGCCCAGTCATAAAACGACAGAATGCTTACCAAACTCATCTGAAACACACTGGGTATCACTTTCACATCACAATTTACCTGTGCCAATTAAATGAGAGAAACAGAGTGTCGAGGACATACTAACGCACTGCACACTCTGCAGTTGTTGAGGGATGTTACCATCGCATTCGATAGGATACAATGCTACAGATGTGGTACTGTCCTAGAATAACAACACTGAGTGCAAAAAAATAACGCAATCAGATACAGGATATCCGTGGAATGTAGATTACCTGGCTCTTTGCTTGCGCTGTCTAGCTTGAGCAATCTGTCTCACAAGTACCTGGCGCTCCGTCCGTAAAGCGGCCAGCTGCTCACTCAGGTCGTCTCTAGTGGCAAGTTTTAGACGTCTACAGCGCTCGGCAGCTTGCCTATTGGTGGCTCGTTTTCTCGCCGTGATCAATACGTCCATCTGAAGAAGGTAAAGCATACACAACTGAGTACTGAGAAGCCTCAAAAGCGGACAAAACACACAAAGACAAAAACCACTGTGAACAAAAACCGTTCAGAAGGCGGTGGTGATACAGCTGATGCACTTAATCTACGATGTTTACCGTTCTTTTTTCGATAAGCTACAGGTTATCGGTCGGGAAACAGTCGAACACTGTGGAGACACTACGACCTATCACATAAGGAAAACAGAACTGGAAATGGTTTCACCGTACGAACGGAGTAACAAATCTGTTTTTCAATGATCACCAAAGACATCCGAATTCGGCATGCGAGATGCGACAGGCAATCTCGTTGGAAATTACGGTAAACGCATCGGGGCCATTGATTAGTTAGGGCACGAGCGAGTATGGTGAACATCTGGGCCGAAACAACAATGCAGTCAACTGTAGGTGCGAAAGCAGCGTGTTCAGTAGGTATCTGCTGCACGAATATATAAGACCAGAATACTTTAGAAAATACCCTTGAGTCATGAAAAACTAGTGTTTATAAGGCGAAAACTGTCTGCAGACTAAGAACATAATGATGACCACCGAAGCTGACAGTACTTTTGTGAAATTAAAACACACGCCCAAACGCCAACCAGTCGTTTGAGAAGCGGTGCTACGAAAAATAGCCTTTTTTTCACTGGGCACTCAGCGTAACGAATGAATTGACAAGCATCCTCTGTTGCAAAAGTTCTCCCAACACGTGGTTGAGCCATTCAACGAAGATTAGAAACCTATGCCTAAGGGTAAACATGTTGGTGACCCAAAGCTAATCAAGGGTACAGACAAACGTTAATGCTAGCTACGAGGATGCAAAGATAGTTCTGTCATGAGCAAGGCGTACGAATGACGTTCATCACTCCCATAATAGACCGTTCATCAAACAGATTTTCAATTGGAACAAATTATAGGATCGTAGGAAGTTAGCGCCCGAGAGTTTTGGTGGTAGTGTATGCGGAGGTCGCAGACGAGTTTCTGCAACCCAACGAAAGTATGGGGTGCGTGGTTACCGATCATTAACGACTGGTGAAAACCGGAACGACGTGAATAATAGAAGTAAAAAGTGCTCAACAGTGACATCTCTTGGGCGCCTAGCTATCACGCCACTGGAAGGAGACACGAGGGTTGAGATTTTGCCAGTTTACTCAAGCCTAGACGGGGGAAGTCGGGATGGCGGGGTTAGGTTGCAGCCATATAAGTTCGCATCTGAACCACTTAGCAGTCTCGACAAGAAAGCAACCATCCGGAACACTCATGAACAAGCGAAACATGTGTCAGGATATAGTCCTTCTTCCGTAAAAGGCTATACTGCTGTTAACTCAAGTGGTGATGAAACGCTTGCAATCAAACTGATTGGAACAAGCCAACGAGCACTTACGCTACTTGAGCTACCAACATTACCACCAATAGCATTTCAGTCACTCCTATGGAATAGACACCGCTGGTGAAGTAGCTTGGAGAGGGTGTGCCAGGTTTTGAAGATGGTTCCAGGTTTCGTCAGTGAACAACCTCTCCAGGTACAGACCTACCCGTATTCATCACTTGGAACGGCTGTCAAAAAGTTCTTTTTTGGGCGTCCCCCGTCCACGTATCGCGGTCGTAAATTAGGACCAGGCGGACCGTCGCAATGGAGACTCGGGGTTCGGTACGTAGATCAACTTCGGCTATTCTCCACACTGCGCTAGTCAGCCGCATAAAGGCGTATTTGGAACTGTCACTCCGTCGTTGCACCTCTTCTTCCGCCTATCCGATGAATAAGGTGATGGAACCGAGATACTTAAATGCGGTACCTTGCTTGGTCTCTTAATAGTCTTGCGCAGACATGTCCTTGCAGATGGAGGCACTCATGGTATTGACGTACGGTCCTACAACTGCTGCGTAGTATATCTAGGGTCGCTTGAGGTTTTAACTTATTACCAGTAAAATGATATCAGTCCAAAATAAAGCAAAACAAAGCGCCCGAGTTGAATGCATAACCAAAATTGGTGCCAGAATCATACCTGGTGCGGAGTCAAGTAAGGGGTGGACTTCATTTCCCTGAACTTCTCATTACTAGCGCCGACTATCTCTTCATAGCTGAAGGGGACATGTGCATGTTCTAGCGCAGCGATATCGCGCTGAACATAATCCCCTCGTCTACTGAGTGAACGCTGGGACGCAATGAAATCAGAGGACAAGGAGCCACCATGCTGAAATGGTGAAGGAGTGCTGGATTCCTCGCGGTCGAAAACAGATATATCTCCAGTAGATTCGAACAACGATCCATTGGTTGACAACGATCCACAGGATTTCGACGAAACTGAACAAAGCGAAATACGTTTGATGGGACCACTCGTACGATTCGAAGGACCAGGACTTTGCTTGAGAATGAAAGGACGGTAGCTGAGTTCGGAGTCCTGACTAGATCCGCTTAGGGGCTCTAAATCTGAAGTGCTGCTAAAACTTGTACTGCGACTGCGTCGCTGTCCCACTTGTAGCGGTTTGAGTACAGATTTGCGTCTGGATGTGCGCGAAAGGTTCTCCGTCGGTGTGGATGAAACACAGTTCGATGCCACCACGGGGCAGTCAGTGGGTTGCACATTTTCTGGTATCGGATCTTCTGAGTTTACTTTTGCCTCATTTGAACTAGTGGTCCCAAACAACATATCCGAATTCAGACGAAGGACGCGAGGGAAAGGACGTACAGGTTCAACGTTGTTCTTGAAGCAAACAGTCGGGGATTCGTGCGTATTGCAGCCTCCAACAGTCCATATATTCTGCGGAATGAAAAAGCGACAATTGCGGTTGAAAATGATTCGATGGTAGACTAATGTACCTCTAATATTGGAATAAGGTTATACCGGATTTACCGCAAGAATGGTGCTATATCAACGGAAATCAGCAACTAGGCCAGGTACACCTCGTAAAAACATATATGGTGTGCTAAGCGAAATAATGAAGTTTACGAATGCAGTTTGAAATCTAATTGGCCATCGCTCAAAGCCAAGTAAAGCACCAATCACATTTTTACTCTCAGGCAGATGCCGGATCAACGACACTGCTCCAAACAACTAAAAATGGTACTCTTCCCCGATCTGAAAGCTGCTTTTGACTCTGTGAACTGTCAGACACTATGGCAGTGGCTGTGGAGCAAACGTGTCCCCCCCCATAAATTCTTGACTCTATTTAAGGTGCCGTACCCTGACTCACGCGGGTATCTGAAGATCTACAAGAAGCTCTCGCCTGAGTTCACTACAAGCGGTGTTACGCAAGGCGAATTTGTCACTGACATGAGTACGGAAGACTTAATACAAGCCTCTGATGCCCTAGAGGTCGAGGTACTCCCAAGGCATCCGCCCACAGATATCGAGTACGCGGACCTCTCTCTTCCTGGACCTGACGCCGTCGTAATGCAAACAATATTAGTCTAAATAATACTGCCTCGTAGTTCGGCATTCACTTCGCAACTGCAAAATGTAAAGTGCTACTGCAAGACTGGGTAGGCTCAAACCCTAGCCTCATACTTGCGGATGAACCGACTGACGAAGTAGAGGAATTTGTCGACCTGGGCAGCTGTATCAGCCACGGTGGTTCAGCTGAAGATGATACTACCATTCGGATTAAGAAGACCAGGGAAACTTTTGCGAACATGTGGTGTAGGCGTGACATCAGGTCTTCTGCCAAGAACCGAGTCTGAAATGCTGCGGTTCACTCCTTGTTGCTATATAAGTAAGAAACCTAGTCACTGCGCGCTGAGGACGTCAAAATCTTCGGAGTACTGTTTGAGTCTGGTAGGAACACTGGATTAGTAATGCTGAAGAGGTGTGGACAGTTATCAAGTGTTAAAAACAAGATTTAATTCTTGTTGGTTGTATGAAGGAATTCGTGAATACCAATCAAGATTCTGGCGAGACGGCCGAAGTGGTTAGAGCGCGAAATTACTGATCGGAAGGTCCGTGGTTCGAACCCGCCCTCTGCCTCTCCACTTCCCATGTCTACGTTTGGGCAACCTGGCAGCATCCCAGCCCTCGTGCAATCTTCTGGTGGCATGGCAGTTAGGCACCGGAAGGGTGCTACAGCTGAACGATTGTAAATGATGCCAACACATGCCGAAAAGCCAGAGAGAACTGTGCAGCTGTTTCATTAATATTGAGAAAAACCAGCAAAGGGCATTTCAGGGATCCTCAGGAAGACTCGAATCCGTGAACTACCGGTTAGTAGTTGGAGAATAAACTGTCCGGCCATGGACTGGTTGGAAAGAAAACCGTTTCAAAAAGGCAAACTGAGTGATACCTCTTCAGTTCGCTCCTAGCATGTAGTACATTTGGGCCAACAATGAATCATGCTAAAACGGGAGGCAGAACTACTGCATTCGACTCGTCTGCAGGGTGGAGGGATCTGTTGATCCCCGCGTTCTCCATCCACAGTAGCTTCACTGTGGTGAGGCTGAGTGATTATTCGCAAATCCTTTTGATCAAAGAAAGAGTTCCTTCGAAAATCCACAATACACAAAGGTAAAGAGAACAAAACAAGTCATAGCAAAATAAGTCATATATGGCAGCTAAGAACCAGTATGTATTACTGGTATATCACTGTCAATCATGATGACTATGACAGAGGGAAAAACGAAGAAGTAAAAGCGAACACATGAAACGTGAAAGTATTAGATCGGTGGACGAACTTAGAGTAGTTTAGTAAGATAAAAATCCTTTTTGCACTTAGGATCAGTGAAACAAAGAATGGGTTGTGCCCATAGTGTACTTACCGGAGCACCAGATGTAAGAGAAAGCACAGAAGGTGGTAATATTTTGGCGTCCAAGTCATCATCCTCAGCCGTATTTGTGGGGTTTTCAGACTGCAGCGAAGTTATGGTAGACGGAGCGTGCAGTGATAGACAGGCCCCCTCCACCCCTACAGTAGCGGCTATATCGGAACGAGGATCGATTAACCCCGGTAGCTCAGGAATTTCAGAAGATGCGGTAGTGTCCGGATTGATAACTTCCACTTTATCCGTATCGGACCAAAGTGGGTCTGCTGACATAGGAGAGAACATTGGCTCGACGGCAGGAGATGGAGTACACCGACTGACTGGCAAGAGTTCCACAGTGTCATCGTTCGAAGGACTAGGCTTGCAATTTAGATTGGGGGTCTGCTATCGGATATAATCTTTGAATTTACCTTACCCAGGAGGTGGAACACGTTGACAGGTCAGTAGGTTGGAAAATAAAACTGCTTTCGTCTAAATTGTTTGGTAGACCTTCCAGGTCAATCTTCTGGAGTGCTTGAATAAAATCCTTCAGGATATTAAAGACCAAAAGCAGAGTAGAACCTACCTGTGGAGAAAGTCGTCCGTCAAGATCAACCGGACCTGCAGCCGATGCTTCCTTGGCTGGATACTAAGACATGGAACGATACAGTACAGGAACCAAGTTACAGAAAAGTACGATCGAAACCCGGTGAAATGTGGAGGCACTTGCAAAAACACGCTGTTGTCAGCTGAGAACAAGCCTGTACAAAATCACTTGGCTAATTTGAAAAGTATGGAGCATAAGGCTGGTAATTGGAGTGGTTCCTCTATTTCCCAAGAAAGACGCTCCAACAGTGAAAATCTCATTATAAAGAACATTCATTTGGTGGTTCCGTGTGAACAAATTATCGAAGATTAGACTTCTATCGGAGTAGCATTGTAAAGCCACCTATGACTGAATCAGGACTCGCCCGCCTAGTATACATTATGACCTGGTGTAGATCTAGCGAGACGAATAATTAAGGTAAACAAATTGAGACAAAATATTAGAAGAGCTGATACTATCACCTTCGAGTAACGACATAGACTGCGCTACATGTGGTAAGTGTGCGCCAAAAAAGCCCAGCTGTAAGATGTGAACGATTTCAATTGCGACAATGCATCATCTGCGCTGTCCTATTACATGAACGAATGGGGTCAAACAACAGCCCCAAGTGGGCAGTGGCCTCATTGGTGTGTACAAACTACGTATCGATACTGTCTATCGGCAAACTATGCAATCACCTCCTGATCCATGGGCAGTCAGCACAGCAAAATATCTCGGTATTTTCACTGTTTTGGGTATAATTGTGCCCACAAAGCCTCCCTCATTGTAAGCGAAGTCCTTTGTTAATCGCAGTCTACCGCAGTATGACGCTCGAGGATGGAAGGCCTTTCAGTTAAGGTGTTTTCCTTCTACGATGTGAAAAGCTAGAACACCGATAATTAGACTCCCAAAGTAGAATCCCAAATTAGACTCCCAAAGTAAGGTAGCTGTCTTGTTTTCGTCTTGAATCCCACCAACTCATCGACAGGATGCAGTCTTCGCTAACACGCACGTTGCGGTTTTGTTCACTCAAGCCGAATCCACGAAAGCACTAGGTTATATCCTATTTGGAATGGCATTAGCTACTTGAGGTCCTAGACTTAGGATTTCAGAAGTTTGACCCGTGTTTCTATGGCTGTAGGCTGTACTGGGTGATATCCCTGTCAAATGACCGGGAGGTCCGTGTTTCGAACCACAACTCTGCACCTCGACTGCTCCTGTTCAGGTCCAGGCAACCTAGCAGTATCTCAACTCTCTTGCTTCCTCAGGTAGCGTGGCAGTTAGATGTCGAGAGGGTGATACAACTGAATAAATATGTATGAAGGGATGCAAAAGCTATAAGGGTGAGCTGAAGTAGTAGAACACCGTAATTAGACTCCCAAAGTAGAATCCCAAATTAGACTCCCAAAGTAAGGTAGCTGTCTTGTTTTCGTCTTGAATCCCACCAACTCATCGACAGGATGCAGTCTTCGCTAACACGCACGTTGCGGTTTTGTTCACTCAAGCCGAATCCACGAAAGCACTAGGTTATATCCTATTTGGAATGGCATTAGCTACTTGAGGTCCTAGACTTAGGATTTCAGAAGTTTGACCCGTGTTTCTATGGCTGTAGGCTGTACTGGGTGATATCCCTGTCAAATGACCGGGAGGTCCGTGTTTCGAACCACAACTCTGCACCTCGACTGCTCCTGTTCAGGTCCAGGCAACCTAGCAGTATCTCAACTCTCTTGCTTCCTCAGGTAGCGTGGCAGTTAGATGTCGAGAGGGTGATACAACTGAATAAATATGTATGAAGGGATGCAAAAGCTATAAGGGTGAGCTGAAGTAGGTGGTATAGTGGCAACATGCAGTTTATCACACATCGAGAGTAGTAATGAGTAGTAATGATCAACATCGGGCGAATAAACTGTTTTAAGGCGCATACCAAGTCGACCCTAGCATGGGAGGAAGCGGCATCGTAAACAAAGAATAAAGGGGACGAAAGTGCGATGGTCTTTCATTGAACTACGTAACAAGACGAATGTTTCGGAAATAAACCAAATACACAGAACGGCTTACCAATTCATGTAGAAGTACATTGACGTGCACACCAACTCGTGGGTTACTAGGAGTAACCCATGAAAATACATCGAAATCTAGACCGAGTTTGCACGGCTTCCATGGATAGTCGTTTGAAACGATTGCTAACGCTATTAATGACAGAAATCTGCCGGCAGTTGTAATGCTGGCAATGACCAGCTGCAGAGGGACGACAGAGACCGGCAACTTCCAGTACTCCCAGGCTTCCATGATCCAAAAACCAAAACACAAGATTTGAAGAGGTTAACTTTACGATCGCATCTACAGGGCGGAAAACAGTCACCGCAGACCGGATAACTCAGCGACTCTCGAGAATGGGGGTTCTCTGAGGGCTTCGATGCTGCAACACCAACGCCAAAATCTAAAAAGGACACCATGAAATAATGTAACGAAGTATCTTCGAAGACATTTGTAGTTACGAAGAAGCTACACAGGAGCGTTCCACGATAAGAGGAAAACACTGCGGTGCAACCAGCCATTATGCTACGCTGCAAATTTCACCAGAATCATTGAGCCCGAGATAGCTAAGTGGCAACGGTGCGAAAGTATTGACCGGAAGGGCCGTGGTTCAAATAAGAATCCGGCATCTCAACTTCTCGCGTTTACGTTTTGACAACTAGTCAGTATCTCAGCCCTCTTACTTCCTGCAAGTGGCATAAAAATTAGGTACTGAAAGGGAGTATTATGTATTTTTATTTTTTCAGCACCGCTAGGTTGGCGTTGCAAATACGAAATACTGACCGCGAAGTCATCATCATCATCATCATCATCGACAGCATGACATCAGTATCCAACACTGACGCTTCACTGCCATACAACCATGACTTATTTGAAAGCCTTATTGTAAAGAAAAGAATAAAAATGGATAGGCAAGGTACTTGGTGCGAGCTTACTACAATCATTCCGAAATACCTACACCTCCAGACACCCAACCAGGCTATCTGGATTGAAAACGTCCACAAGAACGCCACTGGTACAGTGAGGATCAAATGGTCCCCATCCTGGAAGGCGGGTAGCACCAACGTATTCTCTCGCAATCGCTTTAATACACTCCGACATCGCAATGGCTGGTCACCTCTCTGCTTCCGTCACTTTGACGTGGGCATGGAAAACAGCACTATCTTCGGCAAATGGTGGTTCGGCATACGCAGCACATGTCCCAACCAACAAAGCTTATGATGCTGGACACATTCTTCAATGGAAGTGCCCACTGCACACCCGAAAAATTGCTTTCTAATTACCCACACTAACCGATAGGAGCTATGGTTCTGAGACAACGATTTCTGAACACCTGAAGATCTCTTAGTTCCGGTGCCTGAACAGGCCAAGTCTCACATCCATAGAACAAAACAGTCTGCAATGTAGCTTGATACACACGTCCCTTGAGATTAAGGGATACACCACTCTGACGCCATAGATGTCGCAAAGTGGCAAACGAACCACGGGTCTTGCAGATTCGTGCACTGACCTCATCCATCACACTACAATCAGAACTAATACAACTTCCAAGATACGCAAAACGCTCCACAACTTCCAGTGCCTCCCCCTGGATTGTAAGTGGCGTGCTCAGTGACTGTAGGCCCAGAAGCATGACCTTATACTTTGTGGGTGCAAATGCATACCAAAGGATGATTTGGTCAGTTAATCCAAAACACTTGCACCGATCTCGTCTGCGTATTCCTAATCAACAAGGCTTTCGTCACAGGCTATTTGAACAACGGGGTTTTGGATACCCTCAAAAGTTCGACTCGTGATTTCATCGATCACAAAGTTAAACAAGAATGTGGAGAGTGGGCATCCCTGACGGACACCACTTTGTGCATCGAAGCTTTTGGAGGGCTCTCCGTACACTCTCACACGTCCGGAATTCTGGGAATACAAAGAACATTTCTTGGACATTCCTTGGTGGGCAAGCGTGTAAAGCAAAACAGAGCAGTCAACCGAGTAAAATGCGCCCTCGAAATCCAAGAACACTAGAATTGTGGGTCACTTATACGTATGGTGTTGTTCCAGCACCTGACGGAGTGTGAAGATTAGGTCAACGCAACCACTACAAGGCCATAATCCTGCTTGCTGCTTTCAAGTCAGTGTCTCACGAGCCACCGTAAGGCGACAAAGAAAAAGTGACGCCAACAGTCTCGTCACGACCGGGGTCAAGCTGATCCCTTGTGGTTACCACACTCAGTACGAGACCCTTTTTAAAGTGGGCACTATCGCCGACTCTCCCCATTTGTCTGGGACAGACTCCTTTTCCAAAATGCAAACAAACGGGTCAGACAAGCGCCGACTGAGGACTTTACCCTCATCTTTGAACAATGCGGGTGACAGGTCATCCGTACCAGAGGTTCGGTGGCGCTTAAGAGAACATATGCAGTCATAAACCCTCGAGGCCGTAGGCGGTTCCACGTTCATCGTCCAGGGTTCTACCTCAACTGTGCGCTCCTTATGGGTGCCAACTGGTGGCCTTGACAATAGTTGTTCGAAGTATTCGGCCCAATGGTTGAGGCGTTCTTGTTTATTCGAGATGGTCAGTCCCTTTCGAGCCTTGATGGTTTTGCCCACAGGTGGTTTCCCGAAAACAGTCGCACGGATCAACTGAAATAAACTTCCGGCATTACAGTCTTTCTGGGCCCCTTCAATTTCTTCGGCCCTCTGTATCCACCATTCTTCACGGTCGGCTTACTTGCTCACCTTTACTTGACGTCTGATAATTCACAACACCAGGTTATGTTCGGGACTGGCTGGAATATTTCTTCCAGATTTAAGCAGCGCCACCGTTTGGTCTGATGTCCAGTGCTTGAGTGCACCTGATGGTGCCGTGCCACAGGCGAAATTCCCAGAACTGTCCAGAGAGGTGGTAATCTCGTCCTAAAATGAGTTCACATTTGATGATGGAGCATTTGGACAATATTCTAGACGATGGCTGGTGTAAATTCGCCTGCCATCCGGATCTGCCAGTCTCTCAGTTGCCAAGCGATTTGTACGCACCCTACGCGACCCAGAAAACCGTAGGGAGAAACGAGTCCGGACAAGTGTGTGGTCGGAATCTACAAATGTGTTCCAAAACGACCGGCAGTCAGTTGGTGATCCACGCTATCGGTAACTGATGGTAATGGGATCGATTTGAATTTGTTGCCGGCATGCTGTTAGGGGACACCATGTGGCCAGACAACTTCGGCTATTTCTTAACATTAATATACCAATGTTACAACCACACACGCGTAACGCTTGGGAGATGGGTCAAACTCAGGGAGACTTCGGATATCTCCCAAATGCAACAACTACCTCTCTAATCCATAAAGTAGGACAGATCAGACCACGACATTGTACACTTCGCGCCATACAGTCAAGCTTATGTCACATCGGCAGCGTAAATTTTGGTGGATGGCAAACGCTACATTGGCCCACCGAATTTGGGAAGCGATTCAACTTCCTCCAGTTCGCGGGAATTATGCGGTTGCCCTGATGGATAAACTACCACGTCGATTGGTTCACTTGCAATCATGAAATAAAAATAGGTCCCAGAGAAACTAGCTATAGTACTTTACAGGTGCAACGTGCAAGCCAGACTGCTAAGCGGAACTATTTGGCTCGCTTAAAATGGTTGGTATTTCGGAAGAGTCCGATTTAAGGACAGTAATATTGTCACTCTGTTGTGTCCTTTAGTGGGTTTTTCGGGAATATTTTGATCCCTGAAGTGTTGGACACAGGCAGAAGGATCTATGCAACATGTCCATTACAAGGTCAAAGAAGAGTGTCACAGAGTAGCCTCATCCGAGATCACTGAATGTAGAGAGCTGTCGAAATTTTGCTGTAGATTTTTGCGCGTCTACGGGAGTAGGCACATAGTACACAAGAGACGAGGACTTCCAATGAGTTTTATTTCATCGCCCGACACCGCCATCACTCTGGACAGTTAACGGCATCAAAAGTAGCTTTCAAATCGAAGAAAACGACCATCGTTGGTCGTCGGGAAGGGTGGCGAAGTCCACCCTGTCAACAACCGCAATCAGGACGAAACCCAGCTTAACCCCCACGAATCCGAGTCGTTGGATGGGGGATCCACCTGTACAGTGCAGTGCCGGGGAGTACTTGGAAGCTATAGATATGCAAGACTTGTGCCCAATAATCTTCGAATGAGGTCCTTGTACTATTTTAAACATTGGAACAGCGATCGAAGTACTTTATTTCGTCGATATTGTCCCCATTCAAGATATTTCGGGGTGAGATGGAGTATATAGACTATTTTAAAGAGCATAGGAAGCAAAAAAGTCTGGGCTGGGTACGTTGTTGCGTTGAAGTAGTGTAATTTCGCAGCAGATCTGCTGCCAACGTGGAACTAGCGTCGACGTTTAAGCTCTTGTGATTCTTGCAAATGTTGTGGTGATGGATTGAGCTGAATTGCTTTTCAGTGCTTCGAACCATTGTTCGCTACTGCTTCTGTGAGTGAATTAGGGTCCAGCCCTTTCAGAAGTCCCTTCGCACCGGACGATTTGAATAGTCGCTGGGTTTGTAGTAGCGCTAATTCGTGGATTAATACACTGCTTTCGCCCAAGCTTCCCAGGCTGTTTTCTCTCTTGACGTTCAGTGGCTGCCGCTCACCTGAGAAGCACAAGCGAATAAAGGGTGTAGCACTGCTCCTCATGGCCTCAGCGCGGGGCAGTAGGCTTGCCAACCCGAGGACTCGGTCTGACCCTCCAGGCCAAATCCAGAAAAACCACCAAAGGCGCACAGAGCACATCATACACCGAAAAACACACGTACAACGCACGGTATTTATATGGCAAGCATAAAAGGAGATCTGGAAATCCGGGCGCGCCACTGACAACCGGCATGAAATGGACACTGACTGTACCATGATTGGTTGTTCGATTCACATTTCCGACCAATTAGAGCTGGCCTTTACGGTGGAAATACAGGCAGCCCACTGACATACGGATTGGGTTTACTGCCTGCTGCAGTGCCTACTTAAGAGCGGTGAGGCTGTTTTGGCACAGGATTCCTCACAATGCTTCCCTTCAGGCTTGGACAAAGTCAAACCCGAGCAGGGAAGCTTGGGCGAAAGCCTCGATCTTATGTATCCATCCGTGGAGCGCGGAAAATAGGGTGTCACTTACAGTAGTTACGCCGGCTTGCGGATTCCATTCGTCCAGTGACTAAGCGGTAGGGCAAGCTCGGGCTCAGCATCTGATTGAGTAGTTGACGGAGTTTCAGCAGCGGAATTCACATCTGACGTGTCCAGATATACCGCCCAAATCAAGTTGCTCGGTTCATATAAAGAAACAGCGAACGGTTTGACCGGAGCCTGTTTGTGTGTCAGATCCACCTCGGGGGGGGGGCAACCTGATTCTTGCGCAGCTTTTT